TCTAAATACATTTTTCTTGAGACGTCGGAGAGACTTCTCTGAGGCTGTATTTTACTGGTAAAGAGTTATACTACAAAGTACAGTAAATGAAAATTTCATTACTGACTGACCAAAAAAAGTTATGGTACCATTTTCTTGAAACAAAGCTAAATTAATTATTGAAACTTAACAAAACGCTGAAATCGACGGCTTTTTTTTATTTTTCAGTAAACTAATGAACGGAATTTAATGTAGTTTATCTGATATCATAGGTATTATTAATACTTGAAAAAAAGGATAAAACTTTTTTCAATAGCATCAACGGTTCAACAATTATGCACAAAAAACGGGCTTTCGCACTTTCTTTAATTATTTATAAATAATTGTCTATAAACAATGTTCCACAGCCGGAAATCGAGCACAAACTATAGCCTCAATATTCTGACATCCTTTCGAACAACTTCCAATAATCTTTTACCATCATATTTTCAGTGCCCGAAACAGGCCTTTTCAAGTCTAATCCGACTGGAGTCAAAATACGCCAATATTTATCGTGAGCCAAAATAACATGTGACAAAAAATCACAGATACTTGGAACAGGTACGATCTTGGAACAGGCACACATGGAACCTGTGACTGAAAAATACTGGTTTGTGGCATCCTAATGGGAATTGCATGAAACCATATAATTTAAACAAGCTGCACTGCCTTTAGGAAAAAAGATCAAACGGATAATGGCCCGCTTGTGGTTCCCGATTAGTCACAGTTCTTTGACATCTCTTTCGCTTGTTAAATTCGCAAAGAAATTGGGCAAGTCATTTGCCGATGAATGAATACGAACAATGGGTCTCGTCTCATCCGGACGAACTGAAAGCAGTAAAGAAGTTGGCTTGAAGGGAGATGGTGATGAGTTACAAGTTTTATTATCCAAAGGAGCTAAGAAAAGGGATGCGTAACAGTCGCGGACCTCAACTTCTGTTAGGGGACGATTTTTTTCATACCACCCAGCAACGCTGTAACGATGATGTTTTCTGCTGTCTTCAGCATTCATGTGCACTTACCTCATCCTTTCCTTTCATTACACACATTTTAGCGTCGTGCTCGTTTGAGTACCAAATGAGTCGCTGTTGTTCGCCTAGCTCGGAAAACGTCAGATTGTAGACCACATTCCTGAAACAACAAGACGTCGATTGAAATTGAATCTACACTAGTAGCTTTAGAAGAAATAATTAAAACGAACCGTTTTCGAGCACTCAAATAAATTATTTAATAGTTGGGCAAATAACCAGCGGCATAACCGTTGTAGGGCAAAACGGCCACTATTATTACTTTTTCTTGCAATTACTTTGCGGAAAACTGCGGCCGTGCATTATGCAGTACGCAGCTTGTTGCAATAAAATAAATTAGGGAATTAGGCGCATTTCCGCTTTACAGCTCAGTTGTCCTTAAGTCCCAACTAGTTATATTTATGGTTATTCGCAGGATTCTTAACTGTCTTTTCTATGTAGCTCCGAATAAATGGCTTCCACTAGACGCAGACTGGATCGCAATCAAGGAAACAGCTCAATAATGATCATCAGTGGCGGTCGAGTTTGTACTTATATTTTTATTGTGCCTTGAATAGCTTTTGAAACACTTGCGATTGTTACAATTCACGAAATGAACACAACCTGAGCCGAGCGTATACGCCAAGTGCACCGACTAAATGTGCACCCAGGTCAACTTAAAACACCGAACATCTTTTACTTGGGTAATTGACGCACTGGGTTTTGGATGACCGATGAATTGGTGTTTATTTTTTATTTTTTCCATTCTGTTCTCTTCGCTCCTGCTTTAAAAGTTAGTGCACAGACTTTTATCGAACTTAAACGCCAAGTGCACTGACTAAATGTGTACGCAGGCCAACTTACAACACCAAACGCCTTTTGCATTTGTAAAAGACGAAGTCTGCTTTGGACGACCGAAGCTCTGAATAGTTGTTAAGTTTTTATTTGTTCTTTTCTGTTCTCTTCGTTTCTGCTTTAAAAGTTACTGTACATACACACTTTTATTGCGCTTAAATATGGCACGCTAATGTATCAGAGCGTTGAACAGCATTCGAAACATCTGCGATTGTCACAATTCACGAAATGAACACAACCTGGGCCGAGCGTCAACGCCAAGTGCACTGACTAAATGTGCACGCGAGTCAACTTACAACACCAAACGGCCTTTGCTTGTGCAATTGACAAACTCTGCTTTGGATGACCGATACTTTATTTTGTGTTTAGTTTTTATTGTTTATTTTTTCTTCTCTTCGTTTCTGCTTTAAAAGTTAGCGAACACGTTCTTATTGCGGACAAATATGGCACGCTAAAGCCTCAGCGCGTTGAATAACGTCCCAAACATGTGCGATTCATATAATTCACGAAATGAACACAACCTGAAGCGGGCCAACAAAGCGTTCGCCAATTATATTTACAACATTTACAAGATTTTGCAAAAAGAAACACTGAATTTGGGCGTGCGCGTGTTCTTACTGAGAACTGTTGCTGGATCTGGTACATTTTGAAAAATCAAGACAAATCCTCTTAATGATTTAATTGGCGCAGTCGAACAGCTGATTGCTGAATAATTTACTTCCCATTGGTGCGAGTGGAAGGACGGGACAATGAAGGATGCATGGTTCCTTCCACAATCAGGGCCTGAGTTGAGACAAAGGCTTAATTAAGGCCTCATAGGCGTGCTCTATTTAACAGTTTGGTTGTCGCGCAATAGATTCCACATGAGCCTCAATGCCTGTGGCTCGAATGGTTCTTGAGAAACTTCGAAAAAGCAGCGTCATGTTCAAGTGGATTTTGCAACTCAAAAAAAACCACGCAAATCTAAAATTTCTTGAATTCAAGCATTTTTTGAGAAAACTGCTAACATTTCCTTATCGATGGTTCACTTTCTAAAAAGGTGATTTATTTCTGTCTAGAATGATGTACAAATGAGCATTCTTGCTCGTTTTGCAACCGGGATATGAGCAAAAACGGGACGGAAAACATTAAATTTTGGCATAATCTTGCACCTAAGTGTTTGATATTCAAATTTGCTTTCTGGGCCAAAACTGTTCGAATTTCCTCATTCACGTTGTTACGACTGAATCGACTTTTCATTTCTTTATCCAACGATGCCAAAACGATTTATGTGGCTCGAATGGTTCTTGAGAAACTTCGAAAAAAGCTGCGTCATGTTCAAGAGGATTTTGCAACTCAAAAAAAAACACCCAAATCTATAACTTCTTGAATTCAAGCAGTTTTTGAGAAAACTGCCAACATTTCCTTATCGATGGTTCACTTTCTAAAAACGTCATTTATTTCTGTCTAGAATGATGTACAAACGAGCGTTCTTGCTCATTTTGCTTCCGAGGAACATGCAAAATGGGACGGAAAACATGAAATTTTGTAATAATCTTACGCCACCCTTGCACAAAACGACGATAATTTTTCTGATTTCATAGACAACAGAAGACTGTATTTTTCTACATAACCCCCCCCCCCCTTGAATTTAAAGCTCGATCCGCCCCTGCTTTTGATAGCTCTGATAAGCGGTTGTAGCTGGAAAGAATCCACCAGTGGACGAGTGAAAACATCAGGGTTTCCTACGCAATTTGATGTTTTGCTCTACTGAAAAAAATCAAAATATCTCCTCTTTTCGCCGCTCTTACCACTCTAAGCGTTTACAGTGCCCAACCGAGCAAATAAAGGATGGATAATCCATCGGCGAAGCCTAAAATCCAATCTAATTGAAGTGCATCTTGCTGACGAAAAGTCAAATTCATTAAATGTTCACGTTTGGAGGAAGCATGGCTCTCCTCATTAGAATCCATTAGGACTATTAAATATGAGGCACTTATGAAACGCTCGACTGAGGCCGCGTCAAATAGTCGTTATTTCGGGCAGATATATTATTTGGAAAAACCAGGATTTTTTATTCGCTACAATTAGCAACGCAAGAACGTGCTTAGACGAATTCTCAATCAGGTCGGAGTTGTGAATTTAATACGCCCAAATTATACCAGGCGACATAATAACAGGAATCAACGGGAAGACGAACTTTGAATTCGTTTTCGAGCCGAATAGAAGCAGGATAATGTGTGATAATAAGAACGTCTGTATGTGATGACGGTCCGAGTACCAACGCCTTTGATATCTGATGAGTCCCTTGTTTGCTATTGTCGTATCTTTGTCGAACGTAGCCAGCTTGCGTGAACAGCAAATTAAGCTTAAAAGGATGTGCAAAGTGAGAGAACGACTGTTTTGTTTCAGCTAAATTTGCAGATTTGTGCACACGAACCAAAGACCAGCAATTGAGAACAAATCCCCCAAAAAAGTCCTTGTTAAACCTATATGGAAACACTTGTAAACTTTGAATAGTCAACCTTTCTTCTTTTCCTGCATTCTCTTATGTATAACCTAATCTAGAGGGCAAATGCCTTGCGATAAATTATTTTATATCGGAGCCGGTCCGAAGCGGTCTGGGTCCCTAACAAGATAACAAAGAAACAGCAAACCATTGCGAGAGCAAACGGTTTCTTCATGGTGTCATATTTGCGCAAACACAATTTTGAACGGCAATTTCCGCAGAAGGGCTGAAAAAATTCACCGGCTATCACAGTGGCTTTGGTTCGTCTTTTGTTATTGTTGTCCTCAGATCTTCTAAATGCTGGAGGGTTGGCTGGAAAATTGCAGATTTTAACCGTCCACCGATTTCTGGCGCATTACTTCCAGAGAATCGATTTGCCATGCTTGACTCATAAACAGCATATTATCATGTTTAGCGTGAGCCATATTTATCGCTTTTCGCTGTACGAGGAAAAAGTTTCCGCTGCAAACTTGTATACGATTTTCGTAGGTCGTTTTGTTTTTATCGATATCCGTTCGCTCTATCTTTGCTAGAGCTAGACTTCTTTATGGTATTTGTTCGTCGCCCGTTTTTGTCGCCCTTCGCCCGGATACTTTACGTTTTATGTCGGGAGACTATTGCTGCGAAAACACTATTCTCAGACGATATTAAATATTGCGATCTCTATGGACAAGATCCAATGGGGATTTTTCCGTTCCATCCTCCTTTATCCAGATGTTTTACTTTGAACAGCAGTTTCGTTTTTTTTCGAATGTAATTGTCGTTATTTTCATTTAACACAGTTGAGAAGGCAATAATGGCGAACAAGTCTCATTAACCACTAGCAACGCGGAATGTTTCTACTTGTTTGACTCCAATTTACTTTTTAGTAGTCCCCACGCTCCTTTATCGTATTCCTATTGGACCTCATTGCAACGAGATATCGCCTTACCACTCGACAATTTAGATAATGAATGCTTCTAGTTGGCTGGCAGTGCCTTTTTTGTTTCCCAATTTACTGCTACGTGTCGGTGGATTTAAACATTTCAAGGGTTTTTTTGCACAATTGCGAAAATCGTCCCAAAGAAATTTAACTCGGAATAATTTTGTTGGGTGGTAAAAGTGTACGTTTGTGCTTTCAACTGCATGGATTTCGGCGTTGCTTTTGGCATCCCATCTGCTGCCACCAAAAGTTCTTCTCAACAAGATTCGTCTTGATCAGTTACGTGCACTTCTCTTCTTCACTGTTTCGTGGCATTAAACCACGCTTTTCTTCGTCTTCTAGACTTCTATGTGATTCAAAAATTCATAAACTTCAAACCAGTTCCAATACGGCTTTGAAATTTTGACAATATGAAGAAGAAATATGGCTAAATAGATGACAAAAATTTCAATAAAATCAACAAATCGCAAAATTTAAAAATAAACACTGAAAATTGGGGTTAGAAAGTGACCAACCGCCAATCTGCCAGCGACGTTTGAAAAATTCGTACATTTTAAACGAGAGCCACTAGACATATGCAATTTTTACTGTGTGAAGGGCAAAGCCGGCTAAATATATGAGGAAATTTTCAACTAAATCGAAAAATTGCCCAATTTTCTAAAATGAATCAAGCTTATGTTTCAAAATTGACAAACCACCAATCTGCAAGCGACGCTTGAAAAATTCAAAAGCTCCAAACCACATGCAAAAGATCTTTGAAATTGTGACAACATGACGAAGAAACATTCGTAAATAGATGGTAAAAATTACAATTGAAAATACAAATCGCTCAACTTAAAAATGAACACTGAAAATTGGG